CATCGTAGGAGGTCATCGTAGGAGTACATCAGAAAACGAAGAAGAAGAAGAAGACGAAGAAAAAGAAAGAAGGAAAGAAGAAAGCAGAAGAAGAAGAAGAAGAAGAAGAAAGGATTGATTTTGTGATGCAGTATGTGAAGAGTCGACATGAAGGTCAGTGACCTTTCAAATCACTTGCCGGGCACTGCTGGCCAAGTTCATGTTACTTTACATCACACATGATTACAGTTACATACATGATGATGGAGGCCACTCGCCAGAGAGAGCTTGAAAAACCAGTGAGCAACTGTACCACCGGCGAAGTTCATTGTGGGGACCACCATGCGTACGCAACGGATCAGTGAGCAACTGTCATCGCCATCCTCATCATCTGAGTGGAGGGGGGGGAGGAGGAGGAGGAGGAGGAGGAGGAGGTGAAAGAGGAGTTCTGGCTTGAGCGTGGCACGACGCGTACAGGCTGTACCTGCTGTTTCTCAGAAAGACTAACAACGAAATCGTTAAGAAAAGCAAAAGACAAAAAACAATTCAAAACATTTCATAAACGGGTAAATACTAAAAAGGAAATACTAAAAAGGGCGAACAAATTGCTTACGTCTGACTGTAGCCTTCTGGTTCAAACACGGGATCCCAACCGAACACCTTGGGCCCTCGAGCTGGAACAATCTTCCCCTGCAACATCCAATCCGATTGATCGACAATTTTCATTAGTCAGGGTCTCTGATGATTCTGATCCTCTCTTTTTTTTTTTCTCTTTTTCTTTTTTTTCCCTTTTTTTCTTTTTTTTTTCTTCATTAGTCAGGGGCTGTGACCTCTGTCATTATTATTATTTATTTGTTTTCTTCTTTAGGATAATATTATTAATATATATTAATATATATATTGTCAAATAGAACTGCCCGGTAAACCGTAGGCAGAGAGGGAGAAGAGGACAACAAACGAGGGGCTGTGACAAACTGTTTCGTCGGAGTTTCACCGACTCATCATATCATATATATATCGTCACAAACATAACTGCCCGGTAAACCGTAGGCAGAGAGAGAGAAGAGGACAACAAACGAGGGGCTGTGGCAAACTGTTTCGTCGGAGTTTCACCGACTCATCAGGAGGCTGAACCATATATATATATATATATATATATATATATATATATATATATACATATATATCATATATATTGTGTTAAATATCACGAGCTCACTTCTTCAAATAAAACCGAAAAAAAGGACTTAAACCACAAGTACACGGCCCCAGCCTTGCAGTCCGGAATTTGTTGCCACAAGAAAACGATGCCATTGCTAAATTTAATCGACGGCCGCGTTTTCGTTTTGCAGCTCCAGAATTTGAGGCGTCAGACCCGTGGCCCAGGTGCCCATGTGTTGGTGCTTTTAAGGGCCAGCACCTTCTAGAGTAACAATGGAGGTAAGGGGGTTGCATTGCTCTGGACGTGATTGCAGCCAGATGCGTCCAGGCCAGCGATGGTTTCTTTCTTCCTTCTTCTAGAAGAATCACCTTAGCAGCGAAGGATATTCAAGAGCGCACCAAACTTCAAAAAAAAAAAAAAAAAAAAAAAAAAAGCAGAGCTCCCACTGTGAGCCCCATTCATTCTGCATCATCACAAAGGCTGACTCATCACCCGTGCTGACACTTT